AAATTAATTATTTCTCCTTGGTTTTTTACTTTCCCAGTTCCAATATGCTTTTAAGAAATCAAAATCTTCAATTTTTGGACCATTTAATAAAATCATTAAGTGGTCATCTAATGTATTTAAATGCATTTTATTTCTCAAATTGTTTTTAATTAATTTCATTTGGGAAAATATTCTTTCCACATGAGCATTGGAAAGAGGTATAAGACTTGGGATCAACAGTTTTTCTAATATGTTGTATTTTAAGTTTTTCTATATCTTGATCATCAGACAAATCAATTATTTCAACTTCCATTGGAATATTTGAAATTTCACTAGAAAAATTGAAAAAATTATTTAATTGACGATTCGTGAATGAACCAGAGAAATTTAAGTAGGATCGGTGGGGCAAAAATGTAAAAAAATCGCCAATTGATAATGTTTAACAAATAATAAAGTACAATATTTTTGTCATACAAACCTTATTGTTTTTGTGTATGTATAAAGCAGATCTCATAGAATATTATATTAAAAAAACAAAAGGATTTGAATATTCCTTGAAAACTTTTATATGTTGGACATAGAGATTCGAGTAGTAAAAGATAAAAAAAATTTCTATAATTTTTAAATTTCAGCCAACGCTATTGGCTAATATTGTATGCCGTTTTGTTCTTATATACAATAATTAGACGCATTGTAAAGTTTTGGAAATATGTTCAATAAAACAAAAGCAGGTGTATAAAAGAGAAGTAAATTTTATTTATAACAATAATAAATATTATATATAATGAATTAAATTTCAGTCAACACTATTGGCTAATATTGTATGCCGTTTTGTTCTTATTATTATATACAATAATTAGACGCATTGTAAAGTTTTGGAAATATGTTCAATAAAACAAAAGCAGGTGTATAAAGAGAAGTAAATTTTATTTATAACAACAATAATAAATATTATATAATGAATAATAAAAAAAAGGGTAATATTATATACAGAAAGGTTCTTTTTATGAAATATACAGAACCTATGTGACAAATAAGGATTAATTCTTAGAGTTGGTAAACACTGTGTAATTCCTGCCACCCCCAGCCCACAAATTTAATCATCACGTCTGTGATAAATGTCACATTGGTTTTACAAAAATTTTGAGCTACAATTTAGTTTCCTTTTTTATAGAATGAATTGCTATTTTTGGTAGGGTTCTGTATATTCCATAAAAAGAACCTTTCTGTATATAATATTTTCCATAAAATAATAAAAAAAACAGTGGGACAAAGTGGTAATGGCACAGTAACCCGTCCTTTGTTTGCCTGTCCTTTTCAAGATTTGCCCATAAATAATATAAAAGGACATGGGACGGGCAGTAATGACGCAGCAACCCATCCCTTTTTCACCTGTCCTTTTCAAGATTTCCCCAATGAATAATAGAAAAGGACGGGGGACAGATTGCTGTGCCTTGACCCACGCCATGCCCGTCCCTCATAATTGCCTGTCCTTTTTTAATTATTTTGAAAAAAACCCGTACCATTGCCTGTCCTTTTCTAGTATTAAAGGGCCAAATGTGAAAAGGATGGGGGACAGGTTCAAGCCACACCTGCCCATCCCCCGTCCTTTTCCAGCATCCCAAAAATGAATGGATGAGGGTAAATTGAGAATGGCAGTAGATCCTAATGAAACAAGAGAGTGAGCTAAGAATTGCAAAAGAATATGGTTTGACAATATCACCATTGAAGAAATGTTAGAGGGATTTCTTGATAGTTTAAATCAACTAGGTTCAAAATGCTTAGAATATCTTGGTTGGTATACAGAGAAAGGCCACCAACTTGCTGAACAAAAGCAAGAATATGAAGGGAAAATTAAGGTATTAGAAGATGAGAAAAAGGAGTCAGAAGAAGCATTAGAATTAGAGGAGGAAACATCTGAATGTCATTTAAAGGCTCTTGAAGTAAGGTTGCTCGCTGAAACCTCTTAGTGACTGTCAAAACTCTGTCAAAACTCTAATGAACAATTAGTATATACCTTGTCAAAACTCTGATGATTCTCTGGGGATCCAATCCATTTAAGAAAATACCATTCTAATGCATTTGTCACAATTAAAGACTAGTGCTGTAAATCATGATGATGGTAGTAATTGTATTTACGGCATATAAAAAGTGGTTGCAATTACCTTTGCAACCACTTTTGCAACCATACTTTTTCCTTTTTTGGATTACAGCACTAGTCTTTAGTCACAATACCATATATTTGTACTTGAGGTTCAGGTTCCATATCTGTCTCATCTATCTTTTTGCTTTTTGTTTATTTTCTGAAGATGGAATGTTAGATGTCAATAAGCAAACAATAAAAAACAGAATATAGTATGTACAATATTTCATTTACCTCCACAGCACTATGCATTTGCACAATGTTCTGGACAGCACCTTTCTCAAAATCCTCTTTTTTTAGCTTCACAGACAAATAAAACAAATTCCTCAAGATGTACAGAATATTCAACAGGACCAAAACCATGACTTCCATCAAGCCACTCTTTACTCTTGAGACAAAGTTTACTTTCTTTTAACTGGACATGTTCAACAGCTGCAGTCATAAAAGCAGAAATAAACTCTCTGCAGGTGCTCTCATTACGATTAATGTGAATAAAGGTCTTTTTTTTTCTCTTGAGTTCACCAATAAAGGAATTAACTATATCATCAGAAATTTCTGGATCTGGTTGTGTAAATTTTTCTGTTCAAAAAAAAAGCACACATGTAGGTTATAAATCACTCTGATAAATAATCCAAAATAAGAAAACATTGCAAGAATGTTACCTATGTCAAACTGATTGATGTCACCTACTGATGATCCACTCTTATGCAGTAACTTCTCAAAAACTTCACTTATTTCCCATTCTCCATATGCCTTCTTTCCTATAATGAAAAGAAAACAAATGAGTATTCACTTCACTTGTGTATCTAATTTAAAAAAAATTGACCAACCTTGAATTCAAATTGAAAGACTGATCTCATATTCACCACTTTCATTCAGTTTAATTTTCTCCGCTACTTTATTGAGTGCAAACTCATTTTCAACCTGTTCTTCACCACTTTGCTTTTTATCTTCTTTATAAATAAAAAAATATGAAGGGTTTCCTGCTCTCAAAGTTTCAAAGTTTGTTTCAGCTTTGTGACATAGAAGACACCAAAGGCCACTTGTGTGTGGAAATCTACACTTGAACCAGGATACAGATAAGTTGCAATGAACTATGACTACAAACAATATACAGGTGTAAATGTGATGGGTGTATAGATTTGAAATCAAAAAGATAAAAATATTTATTTTACCTTCAGAACTAGAGAATGGGTAACATACAACCAAAGGACTTGCATCAGTTGTGCTCAAATTCGTGACAAGAGTACCTTTTCAGAGAGGGTTGATCCTGTCATCATAGTTAAAGAATTTGAGGAGTTTTGGTTTAATATTTTTGAAGGTATCTTCTTCTTTACGAAGTTTACATGCAAGATC